TATCACACACACACATATATATATATGTAAATGTGCACATTGGATGCGTATATTTACCTGTACACTGGTTGATGTGTAGAGGCATCCACAGCTGCGTGCGCGTGGAGTGCGGCTACAACAACACCTGCCTCCTGGATGCGCAGGAAGGTCTGTTGGAATCCATCAGTTCCACACTTCCTGGGATCTAGCACTTGGGGTGGGTCTAGGGTCTATATGGCCTCGAGACTACAATAGCCCTCCCAGTGGGGGAGGCCCGTGGGTTCTTGTTTCGAATTGCCGTCGTGTCTCATTGCATCTCTTGTGGCCGAATGTCAACCGTGCGGAGCACAGGCTCGGTGCGGAACAAGGGGGCCTTTCATTGGTTGATTCCGTATTCCGAACGAGCGGTTTGGTTACATGTGATCTAGGCTCCATGTGAGCGCAGCATCTGCGGCAAAGCACGAGCCGAAGGAGCAGCTAAGGCAAACATCTCGTCACAGACCCCCCCCCCCCCCGGATTAGAGACCCCCAAAGCTGGAAGACTTTCGAAGCCGATGAAGGTACACACCTCATGCCCGAGACCGGGGACTTCATGCCTTTCGGCAAGTGAATAGAGTCATGGATCGGTCTCGAACAGTTCATTTTGGATGTCGCTTTATCCGGGCATCCGGACTTTGACGTGTTTTTGAAGTTTAGGGATTAGGTTCAGGGGTGCTGAATCCTGGCTGTGTGAAGTCTTGCTAGCTCTTCCTTGATCTTCGAAACATTGAGTTGGATCTTACGACCATAATTTGCAGGCGTGCCCGTCCTTCAGCTCTTTGTTCCGTTGCAAACACGGTGTCTGAGCAAGTCTTGCCTAACGTCAGCTCCCAACCAAATGTCAACAAACATAGCGAGGTTGAGGCTAGTTAGGTGTACCAGGGTTCCGCATCGAACCGCTTCACTGAGCGTTGACATCATCTCTCCAAGCCCTGCAAACTTGGCCTGCACGAATCTCAAACCTCAGGGGTAAAATCGTGCTTTATGACGCCATGGTGAGAGGGTGTAGCCCTAGTTGTTGGATGCACAGATATCAGAGATCCTTGTAGCTGTAAGGTCCAAGAAGCCTTGGGCACTTCCTCAAAATTTCCATTCCCCGGCCCCACTTAGAATCACACTGAGGTCTTGATGCTACACGCGCCTCCACCCCACCATAATCTCGCTTGTATTACAAAGGTACCGGACCAATCGAACATAGCATCCCTTGTAGTCCTTGTGTAGGCATTCTGTAGAATATACCCCAGGGCCCTATTAAACAGTGTCCCAGAATCGACTACCCTGCTATTATGATAAAGGCTCCTGCATCCCCGAAGCCGCCCCAGCCCTTATAGCACTACTCTTCTTCTTCCTGGCGCGTCTCTGAGGCCAGGGCTGTTCCTGGAGGCAATGCTACCAAATCTCAGTTCCTAGAGACGCCAAACCCCCTTAGGTAAGTAACCTATCTGATTTAGACGAGGGCTTGCTCTTCTGTTATAAGGTGTCTATCCCTTGATTCAGGAGTATATTGAGTATGTATGTGTATATATATATATGTATATTGATTTTCTTGTCTATGCATGTATATATTTATTATTATTATTATTATATATATATATATTTGTTTTTATACTCGTACTCCAATTACAGTTTAGGGGGTTTGAGATTAGGACACCGGGTGTAAGGTATTCTCTGAGTTAAGGTCTCTGGGTTATGAAGGACCCACTTTTATGCAATTTGCGGTGTTTTTGTTATTTTAAGGGTTTCCGAGTCTAGGCTTAGGGATTACATGTTTTGCCTCATGGACTTGTGCGAGACCGGGTTTAGGTTCTGAAGCGCTCAAGGCTTGTCAGGTTTGCTTTCGGGATGTTGTGCTGAAGATGCTGTGGGTGAAGTTTAGGGTTTAGGGTCTTGTGTGGGGATGGGTGTTCGGTTGTTGATGTGCTTGACGTTCCTTCCGGAGAGACATTGATGCGAAATGGCTCGCACTCCTTATGACTAGTGGGCTTTCTAGGTTTCACTCTGCCCGCCGGTTGCAGAGTATTATGGCACGGAAGGCCTGGGGTAGCAACTCAGGATGTGAAGGGTCTGACAGCAACAGACGCCCTCATAATTTCAGTAGGGGTTCGGTGTATACTACTCTTTTACAACGCTGTTCGAAAAGAAAGCCCCAAAGACCTAAAGAGCAGCATCACGCAAATAGCAGACTATAGCTTTATATTGCCAACACGCGCGATCGCGCTATCCTTGAACTTCGGCTTCTCTCTCTCGAGGTTTCGGCCCTGGAGGGCATGAGTATCAGTTGAATCTACCGGCCCTTCTCTCCGAAACCTGCACTTCATAGTCCTTAAGAGCATCTATATGAGTATAACGATAGTCCTTAAGAACATCTACATTTAATGATCGCCCTTAAGACTTAAGAACATCTATATTAGTATACTGATTATTATATAACTACAGTTCATGTTCCGTAACGCAACTAAACTCCATTATACACCAAAAACTCTTTTCTAATGATCAAGGCCTCCCCCCCGACCAGTTGTGGAGCCCCCTTAAAGGCCCTACCCATAGGCCCCTAAGTCCCTAAGTAGTTCCTTTTTATATCTTGTATTTAGAATCCCATAAGGTACTCCCAAAAAGGGACTACATAGGGGCCTACGGGTAGAGTCCACGAGCCGGAGGCCGCTGCAAGCGTGCGGGTTCTGACTCTTGCCACTGGAGGCGGGCATCACACCATCAGAATCAGAATCTTAGCCAACCAAAAAAGCACAACATTCAGCAGTAGTCATGATAAAAAGCAACTCTTGAAAAAAGAAAGAGTACTAATAACCATACTATGTACTAATGCTGATGGTACACTACGGGACGTAGAAACATCGCATTTGCCGACTCTTGGACCTGCCGTGCCTGGGCCTGCGATGCTGGAGCCATAAAGCCCCTCACTCCTGGGTTAAGGGTTAGCGCCATAAGGAACCCCGATAACCTATAAAGCTATAAGGTTTAATTAGGGCTTATAGGGATTAAGGCTTCAGGGTTTGCTGTTAAACGCAGAGGCTCCGTGACGACGCTCCAGTGCCCGAACACTGTGAGAATTGGCTTTGTCGGCTTCGGCTGTGAGCCGGGTACGATCCTGATGCCACCTGCCTCTGTGGTTTGAGGGTTTCAGATCTGGTATGACGTTTGGAGCTCCCAATGTTCAGGGCTTGGGGATTTTATATGAAGTTGGCGAAACTGATACGGAGTTTAGGGCCAGGGTGTTTGTTTGGGTTTCAGGTTCTTTGGATGTGGGGTTTAGCGAAGAGCCTTGCAGGTCTGAATCTTCGTCCTCTCTCTTGTTTGTTCTCGCTCCCTCTTCCCTCTTATCCGAACAGTTTTGCAGGGAAACCCGGAGCCCCTCCTGGACCATGGTCTCGCTGCGCGAAGTGTAACGGGAGAGGAAGCCAGAGAAGCAAGCACTGCAGTCACTACTTTCAACCGTCTGCAGCAAACATCAGCTTGGGGTATGTTCGAGAAGGCAGCCAATGATCAAAGCTTTCACGTCGAGCCTGAGCAATGGCCAACCACCTAGACATCGGGACCTCTTCCATCCTATGAACCAGCCCAGTTCGAGGGCGAACACGTTCGCAGCCCTCCACTCGGCACCATACCTTTCGAAGCAAGGAACCACAAGACTCAGGTCACTTCGCCCTTAAGTATAAGCACCTTCAAAGTGGGGTGTATACCGACACAGGCCCGAAACGGACCTAACTTGCAAGCCTACTTCTGACTGGTTTTAGGTTCGCCCTGGCGCACCTGTTCGTGGTGTGTGCCACCATCTTACTTGTCCGGAGCTTACACAATCGCTTGCTTCCTTCCGAAGTTCCGAAGTTGGATTTGCGAGAGCATCAGAACTTATGCGTGGATATCTCTGCCGCGTCATACGTTCAAAGGTAGTGCGATTATCATGGCCAGTACGTATGATGACTAATACTCCACATGTCCGGGGTCTTTCCTCGCACTATCCTCCTCCAACAGATCCACGTGCACAGTAACCCAGCAATCGAACTGGAAATTCGAGCTCATTGCCGGGACTTGAAGACTCCATGCCAAAACAAGGCGTGCCTCTGATCCTCAGGCCATTTTATTTGAGTTGCTGCTGCGACGGCGCGTGGATGTGACTTGGCCAACCAGCGCAAATGTACCTCTTGCAGCTTGACTCTCTTCATCCGGATGAAGGTTGTGGAATGTCGTCCTCCTTGGAGGCACCCTCCCACAGGAGCATCGGCCAGTTCGCGCGAGAGCGCTGGGGTGTAGTAGCTGAAAGTGTCTGTCGATCTTCGCCACGAGGGGCATGTCATTGAACCAAACAACATGTGAAAGATGTCTGCAAGCTACAACCTAACCCTGAAAAGACTAAGCAACAAACAACATAGATGCAACAGCTCCGTGCCTCAGAAATGGCCCAGGTGTATGTTGAGCTCGCCCTGAACGTGTCGACCCGCGATCGTTCCGCGGAGATTACGGCACTGCCAGCAATTTCCGAATCTTGGAATACAGCAATAATGCACTCCACTCTGCTAGGCTATGCCATACCACTCCTTACTGTACCAAGACTAAGTCGCACCATGCTACACACCGTGCATCTTCTGGCCAGGTTGGCATGACGTATGGGATGTATGGCTTGTATGTGGAATATGCTGCTGCACTCTCAGCCGCTCAGTGCGTGTCTTCGGCCCGGCTCAAGATGACAAAGAGACCGATCGATGCAGTAAGGCATCTAGAATCGAGAACCTAAACCTACACCTTTTACCGAGTCATGAGAGTCATCTCAAGACCCTCTAGGTGCAGTCGTTCACAGGGAGCCGCTCACTCGGGAGAGGCAAGCACGAGCCTCAATTGAGGAGTCAGGTTCTGGTAGTTTAGGTGAACTTCTTTCGTGGCCTCGCTTGCTCCCTTCTTGCAAGAATCCTAGCACTTTGGATATGTCGAGGACCTCTAGTCAAGTCTGTCCTCCTGGCTCCAGGGTCATGGCAGAGCCCAAGGCGAAGCGGCCAAGACTGGAAGAAGTTATGGCAAGTGCCTGTGATGTCGCCACGCCCCAAAAAGTCTCCAAAAGGGGAGAGAAAGAGGCGGTGGTTCAAAACTACGTGGACCTTTTGAAGGCCCAGAAAACACCGGTGGTTAAGTTTCCCTCGCTTCTCTCTGACACAGACCTTCAGCAGGTTTTGCGCTGCCATCGTGCTGTCCTCGACTCTGGCGACCCTGCAGTGACCAACCCACAGAATCGCCAGCACAAGAGGAAGCAGTGCTTGTTCCTACATGGCCAGGCGGTGCCGGAGGAGGGCCAGCTGCTGAGCAGAGCACCAGGTGTTCTTCGGAAGATGCTTCGAGCGGCCGTCTCCGCGCAGCAGGAGGGTCAATGGGGCAGTGCTGAACCAGACCGAGCCGGGAGCGAGGTAGATAGGGACTCGGCACTCTCAGGCATCGACGTCCGGCGCTGCTCGATTCGCGTGGTGGAGCTTTGGGAGTACGAAGCTGGAGGTGGCCTGGTGGAAGAATACCATTTCGATGCCGGGAGCATCGTCACCATCGTCGGCTTGGTTAATGACAAGGAGGAGTTCACAGGCGGTCAGTTTCAGACCAAAGAGCCGGATGGCCATCTCCAGACGCATGAGTTGTCCAAGGGTGACGTGATCTGCTTCGTGTCGCACAAGTACCACAGCATCACGCCCGTCACTTCAGGAAAGCGCCAGGCGCTAGTAGTGGAGCTTTGGGAGGGGGGTCTTCCAATGTGGTGTCGCTGATTTTGAACGATTCTTTGTCTGCCGCGGCGCATGATGAATCGGCAGAGCTTCGAGGAGCGCAGCTCTGTGCACGGCCGCAGAACATCGACGAAAGGTCCCGCCTGTCGTGCAGAATGTTTGTCAACCTGCACCTGTCACTGTTTTATATACGTACATGTGTGCATAATACAAGCAGGTAGACCTATGTATGTATGCATACATCTGTACATATGATGGCTGATTCTATGTTAGAATCTGGGCAGACACATATTGCATATATGTATATATATATATATATTTTTATTTATGTATTTATAGCTATATATATATATGTGTGTGTGTGTGTATGCGTGTGTATGCATGTTTATGTATTTCCTTTATTATTTGTCTCTTGTTCGTCCTAGCCAGGCTGGAGGCAAACATGTTTCTTATTTGTTCATAGAAACATGACTGGATGCAAAGCTTGAGTGACATGCCTTGCATGGGCGAAAAAGTCGCCTTCCATCTATATGCGCAGCTCCGGCAATGATCGAGACAGCTTGGCTTGCATTGTAATCTCCCAGGTAGTATTGGGGGTACCCCTTACAGGGGACCCTTGTGAACCTTACTTGTGGCTCTCTTAAAGGGGACCTTATTGAGAGGGTCTATATCCCCAGGGGTCCCCCTAATCCTAACTCCCATAATCGAATCATCTGTGGTCGGACCTCCAGCCGGGCCAGCCCAGACTTCAGCAACGCACAGTGCAGGCCGAAAGCATGCCTACCCTAGCTCCCTCCTCCTCCCTCCCTCCCTGTCCTGCCTGCCTATATACATACACAGAAACAAAGAACACATACATGCATGCACGCGCACGCACGAGCTTGCACACACACACACAAGTTACATGCACATGCACTCGCACTTGCATGCGTGTAGATTTGCGAGCATGCCTACAAGCTGCGGGTGCCTTGTCCCTGCCATGGCCTAATGCCTTGAGCATGCGCTTCAGAGCGCAATCGCCGGGCAGCCGCATGCTTGGTTTTCCAGCACAGTTCGGGTTAGGTTGCATTGGGTTTGTACGGGTTGCACTCAGGTTGACAAGGTTCGTTATTGCATACATGGACTTCAGGGTGCATGGGAGGCTCGGCACGTTTGTCTCATTTTCACGAGCCAGCGGCCAGAGGCTTGGAGTAAGTTCGGTTTCAAGCTAGAGAGGATTGCTGAAGAAGCAGCATTGGAACAACCTAATTGAGTCCTTCTCCCTCCTTGTGTATCTCTTCATGAGGCTCTACATCTCTTGTCACCTGATTGTTTCAAGTCAGTATGGAAAGAAGCCCGTGTTGCGGTTTGCACAGCTCTTGGACAAGGATGCCAATCCAAAACCGGGGGCAGGTTTCAGGATATCAGGTTTCTCAGACTTCCGAAGCCCCGGACACAAACTTTCAGAGTAGTTTTCAAGCCGCAAACCTCTGGCGATGACAGTGTGTGCTTTCCCGGAATGTGACTCTGGTGTTGATATTCTGTTTGATGTCTGACCTGTCCTGCACATCTTGCGCAGGCAGAGCATACCAACACGAAGTATGTAAAGCCAGGTCAACAATAGTCATGCTCGGCCCGGTGGTATCAACACTCACATGGCCATCACGCAAAAGCCCTGCCTGCGTACGCAAGCATTGAGACTACTACCAGGATTCCCAAGCTGCGTTTTGCCCTGCCAAGAGTGATTTCATGACACACTCCTGCAGTCAGAGAGACGCCGAGGCAAAGCGGTGAACGCACTTTTTTTAAATATTTTTTGTTGCTGTACACGTAGAGCAGTTTCTCGTGTTACGCGTATTTACGACACTGCCAAATACCATTGTGAGCATTGCTTCTAGGCACTGTCGTCCGAAGCACAAGTCTTACTTAATCGTATAGAGTCTTGAGGCGATGAGGACGAAAGTGAGGACTGACCCGGTGAAATACATGGATCCGTGGGCTGGGCTTTGCGAGAGCTGAGCTTAGCAGGGCATTCTGCAAAGCGAAAGTCTTGAAGCGCATGCCGCCATGCCGGAATATCGCTCTGTTTCAGCCTTGAGCTGGCCAATCCAAAATGTGCCGAACTTGGAAGCTGACCGATCCTTTCTGTTGCTGAACCCTTTCCGACGTGCTTGAAACCTCGCCCGGCTTGTCCAAGTTGTGAGTGCTGAAACCCCAAGACCTGTATTCTAGATATAGACTCAGCTTGGACACCAGGATTCGGAGCAACGCGTGATTGCCTGACGGGCGTGTGAGAGTGGCAGATTGACGGCTTCGGAAGCATTACTGCATGTTTCCATTTCAACGAGGGTTTTGTGCAGATGTTGTTTCATAGACTCGTTGCTCCCAGCTGCCAACCCCCCCAGCATTGACACACACCCCACATGTTATTTTTAAAGTCACCTTAAAGCACAAAGCGGACTTCATGCAGGATGAGCTGCTGCTGCCACGCGCACTGAAAGGGCGTGTGGGGCCAACGAAGCGCGTGGCGTTTTGCGCTGCTTGCATTGGAGATCCTTGGCCGAAGTGCTTAGAGAACGGTTTCGGATGGACAATGCGAGACCCTGCAGGGATGGTAAAGATGTCCTCATTATTATTAGTATCATTATTATTGTTATTATTTTTGTAGTCTTTTATTATTATTAGTACTATTACTACTACTATTGCTATTATTACTACTATTCTTACTATAATTACTGCTGTGTGCCTTGAGCTCAGCGCCTCGACGAGCCCAGCAAAGGATTTTTCAGCTCAGGCGCTTTACTTTGACAGGTCGCGGTCGCAGCTATCACAGATATTAGGGTTTAGGGTTTAGGGGATTCTGGCGCCAAGGGCTGGTGAAGCATGGCTGAGTCTTGCACGGGGTCGAAAGCTGTGCGTACACATGTAGCCGGGCTGTACCGGTCGGAACTCAGGAACTACAGCTCTTCCTTTACAATCCCTTAATGATTGCAGCTTCTCCAGCGAAGTCTGTAGTGGTCTTTCCTTAATTCAGACCCCCGACACGAATCTGAGGTCAGTGCTTGTGTGGGCCTTGGGGCAGTTGTCCTGCAAAGCCGTGGAAGGAGTCTGGGCGGTTCATTACTGACAGAGACAGTACTTGTAAAGGCTGGTTCAGGTTAAGTGTACATGATACTGGTAACATAGACCGTAGAAAACCGTCACGATTACTACTTCGACTTGCGAGGACCTGCGAGAGAGCTTGGGGTTTTCGGCTTTGGGCTTGCGCTTCGACCGGGAGTGAATGCAGGTCTCCCCGACCTAAACCCTCAAACCATACTGCCTTAAATACAACCCTAGGCCCACCGAAGAGAGTGCTTGTAGAGCCTTCAGACGTGGGGCAAGTGAGAGCTTGTCCTTCGAACTGAACCGAGTCGTGATAGCCCAAACCTTGAAACCCTGAACTTCTAGCCACATGCAATTGATCCTCGAGGGGCGGCATCTCACATATGAGCCTTACACCTGCCTCGGAGGAGAAAGTATAAAGTTTATAAAGCAACGTCTCGTTGCTTAGGGTTCTCGCATCAAGGATACTGTGCTAGCAATAGTTGCAGAACCAAGTTTACCAACAGTTCCGCAGGATGGGGTTTCGGGCACCCTAAAACCCGAGTGCCGAAATCCTTTGGATTGTGCGAGTTGTGAGCGCCCCAACCCTTCGCATCCCTAAGGCTTAGAAACCCTACTGTGGGGTCGCTTCAAGCAAGGACAGAGATGGGCGTGGCCGCATGGAGACAGCCGGAGCGGATGGTGGAGGTCCTTAGGGAATAGTGGAGGATCAAGAAGGCAGGTGAGGGATGTCAACATACGTGACTTAAATGGTTTAAACTTATCCAGCAGAAAGAGAGAGAGAGAGAGAGAGAGAGACAGAGAGAGAGAGAGAGAGAGAGAGCGAGAGAGAGAGCGAGAGACGACTAATCATGCATGTGTGCTTGTATGCATGCATCCATGCATGCATGGATGCGTGTACGCATGCGTGTGTGTGTGTGTCGGCACGCAAGTATGTATACAAGTATGTAAGCATGTATTTAGGTATGTAGTTACATATGTATGTATGCATGTGTGTATGTATGTATGTATGTATGTATGTATGTATGTATGTATGTATGTATGTATGCATGCATCCATGTCAGCAGGTATGCATACGTTATCGATATATACGCATATGTATATTGGTATAGCATAACATCTCAATACGCAATATATTATGATGTACTACAGGATATCGTACAATATGTAAGGAGATGATATAAGATATACACCAAATCACAGTACAGTGCAATATCATAAAAATAGTACCATCTGACATAATACCACATAAACTAATACAATATCAGCTAGGTTTCGACCAAGTAATATCATATAATTAGCAGAATACCATACCATACAACCTGCATAAAACATAAACCACGTACCAATTTTATATATTCATAGTTTGGAATGTAATGTAGTGTAATACTTCGTGGAAACCCATAACAAAGTATGATATATTGTAGTTTAATATAGTGCAATACAACTCAACATAGCATAATACAATACAGCATTTTTATCATGTTATAGAAAAACAGATTTTAATGCATCGTAATATAGTTTTGCATGATATAACACCAGAACCTAACATGATGTATTATATAGTCGAGCATCAAAACATGTCGCCCCGCACGTTGAGCACACGTTAAACCGGCAGCAACCGCTGGCAGTGCCAGTGGCTGTCTCATGAACCCGCATTTCCAATCCTGTGCCTCCTGGCATGCACACTCTAGGCCCTAATCGAAATTTGTTCCTCGCGCTGACGGCCTGAGAATTCTGCCTGGAGTGTTTCATGTTCATCGTTGAACATTACCGCATGTTTGCCGCAGTGTAGTTTAGTTTAGTCGTTTGTTGTGCTATTACGGTGTGGTACAATGTGGGCAAGGAGTTGTACCTAAATGCAATACCATATCGCCTATCAGTTCCAGGGAACTGCTTGCTTGGGTCATCTTCCAGCTTCACTGCTGCCACTAGATCATGAAGTGGATAGCATGTACTTTGTTTCGATCTCTTGCCGCGGCTTCGGCGGTTTTACTGACGTTTTCTGGTTGTCAGCTCAGGTTGTTCTGCATCGTTGCACCTCCAAGCTGCAGTGCCAGTCTTCCACTGTGGTGATCTAGTCACTAGTGGTATTCCTCGAAAGCAAAAACTTAGCTATTGCTGTTTACTCCTGCAGCCCTGAACTCTAAACCCTAGGCTCCTAAACTATGGTACCCTGGCAGGAACTCTACACTTTCGGCTCTCCCGGTGCGTCGCAACTTGCCTGCACGGCAGCGCCCTGAGAAGACACAGGGTTTTTTGGGCTTGGGCTTCTGCATGTCTGAGTCTAAGGACCAGGCAGCCCCGAATACATAGTTCGACACGGTGAACATTGATGGCACTTCATGCGCGGCTTTGCCCGTTCATGTTTCCCCGAAGTTCCGATGCAGATGCTGAGTTTGATTAAAGATCTAAGGAAAGAACTGTAACGGACGGTACAAGTGTTGCATGCCATGCTATTCGGCACGGCGAGGGTGCCACGTGCTGTCATTGAGGGAAGGAGGGTCCTTGTGGAGAAGGGTGTCTTCAACTCGGGAATGTCCTACGTCCAGTAGCATTCCCGTCATAAGAACCATACTTACTCAAAATGTTGAATACAACCTGCCCTGCAGGTTTCCATGCAGCCCTCTGCATTAGGCCCTGCTCCTTGCAGAAGCCCAGGAAGAGCATCTTGCTGGACATGTCCAGGGAGGGAGGATGCATCGCTGGCTTGCGTGTGTACACGAGGACGTTGCCGAGACCGTGGGCTGGGTTGGTTTAGGTTGGTTTCTTGGGGCCTCTTGGAATTTGCAGCTTAGTTCGCCTCAGTATAGGTCGAAAGGTTCCCCGAAGACGGGGATCCTCCAAACTCTCCAGCCCCTCCCCTCCCTTGAATGTCGTGCATCGGCCTGTGTCTTCACAGGTTGCTTTGTTTGCCAGCGGCCTTGCGCCTACAGTTGGGCTTTTGTGATTCTTGCTTGACTTCTTTGTGCAGCGGTGCTCTGGCAGGAGTGAGCGGCCCGGGTGGAAGGTGAACACGCCAGTATACGACCCGGTTACTTGGATCACTGAGCAGTTCGGCTTCCGCCACGCGCAGAGCCACGGCAAAAACCCCACGAAAGCCTTCGGGTTTAGAGAGTTGAGGAGCCGCACAGACGCCTAAGTGTCTCCATCCAAACTGGAGATGATGCGGTCCAGTTTAGAGCTGGTATGTACTGTATACTATACTGAACCCTAAACCCTAAACCCGAACTTACCCTGCAATGCTCGTCCTTGCCATGTAGGAGGGAGAAAAAACCTCACGCCCAATTTTGCCCCTTAGGATGGCCTTCTTCGAGCTTTCCGAGCAGAATCTCCTCGAGAGTGACATGGGCCCTTGTCGCGCAGCTTGGCAATGCTTGTTCGAGGGGTTTAGGGCTGTTCGATGTAGGGTTTAGGGTCATGGGATTCATGGCTTATTGAATTGCAGTCTCTGCGAAAAAACAAACACGGGTCCTGGGTCACTGTTTCTGGATTTTTGGTTCCGATTGGAATCAGTTAAAGTCTGTTCGCCATAGCACTAAGAATTCATCCAGCATCAAAATCCTTGGTCTACAGGCTCAGGTTCGTCTAGCGGCATAATGACAAAGAAAGACAAGTAATGTAAAAGGTTTACATCGACAGGTGGCGACTAACGAGGACAACAAGACAAAAAAGAATCAGATAAAGACTTGCAGAGACTGCTAGTTACTTCTTACGTTTCCTGCGTTGAAAGACTTTGGAAGATTTGTTGGGCTTTCAGACACTTGCAAAGATGTTTGGAGCGTTGAAAGGTTCAAGGAGTTCTAAATACTTTGAGAGGTCAACAAGAAATGCCGCGGCACAGATTCATGGAACCCAAACTCCAACAGCAATGTTGTTAACCCCTTGCCCGAACATGCCGAAAATAGCAGTTACAAGCACTTCAAGGAGTCCTACCGAGGGCTCGTCCCCGGATTTCGGGGCCGGAGCTCTGACGCACGAATGTCTCTGCGATCTTCCAATGAAAAGCATCGAGCATCTTCATTGTGGCATACGGCTGCTTGCTTCCGGCCAGATGGTTAATAAGATTCAAAGAAGGACAAAGGATTTGCTACGGCCAAACAAGATTCAAGACACTTTCAAGTTTTCGCGAAATATGGACCCTCTAGGGTAGCTCTTGGCTCGATCAAGGAGCAGCAAACAAAAAACCAAGCCAGACTAGACTGAGCAGTGTCACCAGCAAATGGACAGATTAATGCCCGCCACTGTAGACGAACTTTACTCAAAACTTGCGCCGGCTGCACAAGGTTTTATTACGTCCCAAGACTGATGGACAGAACGGCGAATTGTGGTTCGTGTTTGGAGGGAGGGTTGAAGCAGAAGACGAGGCGGGCCAAACAGCTAACCACCAAAAAGGTTTTACCCCAATCGAAGAATGACAACTCAAAAAATATAACTCCAAAATGCAGATAGTGCCACCAAGCGGCAAAGACAGACAAGTTACGATTTCGTATTATTTGTACGTGTGCCTTGTTTACATTGATGCCGAGGATGTTTGCAAAAAAACGTTGGGACCATACATCCTTTCCACATGGGTGTGGATGTGCAAGCAGGACCGTTCCATATGGATCGGTGCAGACATTCGTTGTGTTCACATGGGTCGCTGTTGTGGCATGCTGACTCGACTCGAAGTTTAACTCTGAGTTTTCCAGCTTACAAGACTTTGCACATCTCCGCAGAAGCGGCTGCTGCGTTATGTTGCGATGACTCTCCGTCCTAACGTGAAGAGACAAAGGCATCTGCCTCTGACCCTCACCACGATGACTTCTGGTGGATAGCTGGGTGCCTCAGCATGGCAGTGTGACATGACAAGTTCTCATCCTCCACCCTGAGTCTTTTCGAGCACGTAGCCGCCATAGCCTGCTACGTGTGGAGTAGAAGTAGTATACTGAGTAGCATAGCAGAGCACGTCCTACTAGTAGTAGTAGTAGTAG